TTTATGCCTATTTACAAATAGTAAATGAGTCACTAAATGTGACATGATTTGACCAAGGATATAGAGAAAGCACCAGAGTCCACAGTTCCTGTCATATTTAAGACTTTTTTTCCCCATTAATTTCTATGGCTAGCTCATTTCAGGTGAATGTGCATATAGGAAGGATGCCTAAATATCAACCTACCCTAACACCTTCTATTTTCTTGCCAGTATAGGAGAAAACTGAACTCACCCCAGAGCAACAGAATCTTCTACATTATATCATGGATTCATACAGCAAACAGAGGATGCCTCAGGAAATAACAAATAAAATTGTATGTACAATATCTGAAAATATATAGGTTTATAGTTTTACAACTTTGGAGGTGGCACTTACATATGAATATCTTACTTTGAAATGATTAGAGCTGAGAATTAAAGTTACACATTTAAACTTTTGTCAGCTTAAATAAGAGTAAGAAATTTCACATCTACCTTGGTAATCCTAGTTGCTCTCCAAGGATTTGAGAAAAGTGAGCTGGGTCTTTATACTTTATGGAGAGACTTTGTAATCTGGTTCTTCTTTAGTCTAATGATTTTATATTGATTTATCTTTTTCTTATTACTTATTAATCATTTTTTTCTTGAATTTAGTTAAAAGAAGAATTCAGTGCAGAAGAAAACTTTCTCATTTTAACTGAAATGGCTACTAGTCACGTACAGATTCTTGTTGAATTCACAAAAAGGCTACCAGGTATGTCAGCATGTGCTGATTTCTCTACCACGCTGTTCAGTATTCTTGTGACATTCAGATAGGAGAGTCTGTTCATTGTCAAATGGGAATTGTCTAAATTTACTGACCCCTAGATACATGAAATCAATGTATCTAACAACCATAGGCATGAACTGTTAGGTCCAGAAAGGATCTTTAAAATAATTTCTGTTAATTCTTCCAAATTAATAGATAAAGAAATTGAGACGTTGCCAAGTTGTCATTCATTCATTCATTAGGCATTTTCTGATATCTAATACATACTAAGCACCAGTACTTTCAAAGACAGTGATTAAATGTTATAATTGTAAATACACATACAAAGTGCTGTTTAGGCAGAGGAAAAGGAGTTGCTAATTTTGTCTGAGAAAGACGGGGAGGCTTCAGAAAGGGTCATATTTGAGTTGTGTCAGAAAGAAAAGAGTTTTCAAGATGACATAAAGGAGAAGGGACATTCCAAGTAGAGAGGCCAACTTGTGCAAACGTAAGGAGGAATGAACAAGAAGGGGATTATTAGAGATGATAGAGAAAATTCAGCACGGCTTAGAAGGAAGCCTTGGTGACCTCCTTCCAAGAGGTCACAGCTACTGGAAACCTTGTGGAGCCCAGTGCTACTCTGAAACACACTGGGTCACCAGGAGTCAGAATTGACTTGATGACAATGGCTTCATTTTTGGTTTTGGAGCATAAGGTCTTCAGTGTGTCTGGACATAAGAGAATTGGTGCCAGATGGTAAAGACCTTACCAAGGAATTCAATCCTTGTCCCCTGGATGGTAAAGAGTTTCTGGTGATTTAAAATCAGTAGAAAGGGAAATGATCGTATTTATATTGTACAGAGATGGCTTTGTCAGGTTTGCTTAAGATATATTTGACTAAGGAGATACTTGAAGCAGATCAGTTGGCATGCTACCGTACTAGTCTAGGCAAGAGGTCTTGAAATAAAACCATAGCAGTGGGAGAGACAATAGAAAACAAAATGAAGAGATATTCAAAAATTAATAGGGCCTGATGAAGAATTGTAAGTGTGAAGTGAGACAGATGACTTTATCCACAGTCATTCTGATAGACGATGGGAGTACAGAAACTGGAACACAGAAGTCTTTCCACCACATTTTCAATGGTTTAGGAGAGTAGAGCAAGCATCTCATATCGCAGCGTGTGGTGTTGCCATGTGCCATTGATTCCAACTCGTAGCATCCTTACAGGATAGAGGAGAACTGCCCCATTCGATTTCCAAGGCTGGAATCTTTATGGGAGCACATCATCAGGTCATTTCTCCTGCAGAGCTGCTGGTGGGTTCAAACTGCCAACTTTTGGGTTAGTAGCCCAGCACTTAACCACTGTGCCACCGTGGCACCTATAATAAGTGTAACACTGTGATATTAAAGTGCAGAAGATAACTTTCTGACATAGGATTTTAATTAGACATATTAATTTACCTTATATTTGGCAGCATTATGGTATTATTTTATTAAATGTGTCACAGTTAGATACAAACCTACATAAAACTCAAATGTGGGCAGAAATTTCTGACTCATTGAAACAATATTCTCTCATTTCTTTATTAACAATGAAAGAGGAACTTAATTTCTTTTATGCTAATTAGGATGGTGACAATCTCTCCATCGAAAACAAAATTATACAAGAATGAAAACTGTATATGTAGAGCGGGGGTTGTTGAGAAAGGGAAAAACATGATGTTTTGGGGCATTTATGGGAAAATAATTTTCAGTTCAAATGGTCTGTTGGTTTTAAACCAGGAATTAATCAAAGCCAAAAATTATCCTATTGAAAAGAAGGCAGATAATATCTAGTTCCTGAAAGAGAGAAAGAGTGCAATCAATTTATGTTCAATGAAAAAAAAAAACACCAAAACCAGTTGCCATCAAGTCGGTTCCAACTCACGGTGACTCTGTATGTGTCAGACCCCATGTGTGTTGGACTCCACATGTGTCAGACTCCATGTGTGTCAGACCCCATGTGTGCTCCACAGTGTTTTCAATGGCTGACTTTTCAGAAGTAGGTCACCAAGCCTTTCTTCCCAGGTGTCTCTGGGTGGACTTGAACCACAACCTAAACCTTTAATGTTGCTCTCCTCTCAATTCTCATGGCCATTTAGTCTTTTCCTACACCATTTAGACTCTGATGGCATCAGTTTACCACTGTGTTTGTGTGAACATATGTGTATGTGTGTGTATACACACACGCACATGTGTGTTTCATTTCCCATGTATTTATTCCATTATTCAACAATAATCCTTGAGTACCTCTTACATGCCAGGCACTGGGATACAGACACAAACAAACCCAAGTTGTGCCCTCAAGGATTTTACTCTTCAGAGAGATTCCAGACAATTAACAAATAATCAAATAGATCTATAATATCCTTAGGTAGTTGTAACAGCTTGGACAAAAGTAAAGCAGGTAGGGACAAATGAGTACTGGAGAGTATTGTTTTAGGGAGGCTAACCTACAGGGGCACTGTGAGTTAGAATCGGCCTGATGGCAATGAGTTTTATTTTTTAACTTTGGAGCAGAGACCTGAATGCAGTGAGGGAGTTGGGCATGGGGACATTTACAGAACAGCATTCACCTTTGAGGCAGAAGGAGGTTCTGTGTTCAGACCACAGATAGGAAGTCAGTGTGTCTGGAGCACAGTGATTGAGAGGGAGAAAGAGTAGGAAATGAGGTCAGGGAGGCAGCCAGACTTTGCACCATTTTATAAAGCCTGTATTCGTTTCCTAGGGCTGCTATAACAAAATGCCAACTGGGTGGCTTTCAACAACAGAAATTTACTATCCATCAATTCTAAAGGCTAGAAGCCCAAATCACTGTGTCAGCCACACCATGTTCCCTCTGAAATCTATAGGAGAAGATTCTTTCTTGACTCTCCCAGCTTCTAGCCCCAGGAGTTCCTTGGCCTGTAGATGCATGGCCACATGACCTTCTTTCCTCTGTCTCTCTGTGTCTCTTTTCCTCTTGTGATAAGGATACCACTCAGATTGGATTGGGACCAACCCTACCCCAGTATGACCTCATGTTAACTGATAACATCTTCAAAGATGCTATTTCCAAACAGGTCACGTTCACAGATACTAGAGGTTAGGACTTCAATATATGTTTTTTGGGACCCAATGCAATCTGTAACACCAGGTGCAGAGTCAGGCTTTGTTTTTGTAGTTACTAGCTGCATATCTCTTGGGGTAGACACAACACAATGCACAACAAAGGCCTTATAAACCTGGATAAGGACTGTGGATTTCCCAAGCAGTGTTACACTCTTTCAGGTTAGCAATTATGTCTCTGATTTTCTCTACCTTCACAACACAGGGCTGAGCTCAGAGTAGATATTTCAACATCACTTTTGTTGGTTTTGTTGGACAATGTTACCCATTCTCGAGATTGACAGAAGTTTCATCATCTGCCAAATAGCCTTTAAACCTCTGGATTCACATAAAGATTTTTCTGGCTGTGGTTACTGCCATTCTACAAAGTTGACCCTGTTACACAAGTTATGACTAAAATAATGACTCAAAGAGAATTGGGTCTGCCTCTAATTTCTGAGACTTGCATCATTTTAATCAGCCTGCTTCCTCTATATATGTTTGTGTGAATACATATATACACACAAAGGTATATGTATGTATCCTTGGGTGGTACAAAAGGTTTCAGCCCACCCAGCAGTGCCACTGAAGAAAGGCCTGGCAGTATACTTCTGTAAATATTATAGCCAAGAAAATCTTATGGCGCAATTCTATTCTGTAACACAGGGGGTCACCATGACACCATGAGTGGAAATCAACTTGAAGGCAACAGATTGTTTATATATATTTAATGCTTGGTGTGTAGTAACATCTCCTTTTGCCTAGCTTGTTCAATAAACCCTACTCAATGAAGAGAAAAATGAAGATTAAAGGACTACTTTGGGCCCTTTAATAGATTTTTGTTGATTCAACTTGATTAATCTTAAAACAGTTATAAAATTACTTTATGGGGATGACGGTAATGATGGTGATGAACTGTTGTTATATAGTATTCACAGCTCCTTGATACTGATTTCATCATCATTTTTATCAGGATTTCAGACTTTGGACCATGAAGATCAGATAGCTTTGCTGAAAGGGTCTGCAGTGGAAGCTATGTTTCTCCGTTCAGCTGAGATTTTCAATAAGAAACTTCCAGTTGGACATACAGACCTGCTGGAAGAAAGAATTAGAAAGAGTGGTAAGTGTTTTGGTTAAGGGTAAAAGAATTTTGTTTTGTTTTGTTTTCTGCAAAGTAAGGATTTGTATCATCTCTGAAAACAGGGTTCACGTTTGTCTCACACAACGTTATATGCCTGTTGCACCTGGCACAAAGAATGGCTCTCAAAACAGGTGTTGAATAGATGGGACTTCTCAAGGCTTTATTCAAAAATCCCTTTGTCACTGAAAAATACTTTTTGGCTTGCACTAAGATGAAAGGTTAAAGGAACACTTTAAAAGACTGGAAAATTAGACAGATTAAAAAAAAAAAAAAAAAAGCATAAATGAACTAAGATTATGCAGCCTAGAAAAAAATTCATTCAAAATCTCCAGATATGAAGGATTAGATATTCAGCTATTATGCATATCTATTCAAAGTGAAATAATAAAAATAATAATGAAACAAACCCACTGCCACTGAGTCAATCTGGCTCACAGTGACCCTTTAGCACAGAGTAACATTGCCCCATAGGGTTTCCAAGGCTGTAGGTTTGCACAGAAGCAGTTTGCTTCATCTTTCTCCCATAGAACAGCTGGTGGGTTTGAGCTACCAACCTTTTGATTAGCAGCCAAATGCTTTAAGTACAATGCAACCAGAGCTCCTGAAATAATAATAGCAACATTTATGTATCATTTACTAGGATCCAGATACTATTCTAAATATATGTATTCTTTCATTAAATCCTTGCAAACATTCTATGAAATAAGTGCTATTATTGTTACAATTTTACAGATGAGGAAACTGAGACAGAGAGGTTAAACAACTTGCTGGGAGGCAGACAGTAAGAAAGTTAGAATCCATGTGTCTTTAGCACTACCACACTGCCTCTCAAGAGACAAAAAAAATAATAGCATGAGTAATTCAGTTTAACTTACTATGGAGTAATACAGCACCAAGGAGGGTCAAGAGACAGGGGAATGGACTACTAGGATTTCTGTAAAATTTCCCTGTGGAGAATTTAAAAATAGGATAAGTTCTTATTTCCACGAGGGGTTTTATATATGGGGGGGAGGATGAAATGATTTTTGAAGATCTTGTTTACCTAAAGGACTTCTCAAGATCTTTTCTTCCTAATGGATTGTCTGGGACAAGTTCAAATGCTTTTAAAATCAGTATTTTAAAAGAGAGATTGGAAGAAAATTTTTCAGGTGGTTCCACATCTATGATATAAGTAAAACAATTTAAAAATTGAAAAATATTTTTAAACAATCTTTTCGTGTTTTCTCCTCTTGATTAAAAACTGAAAATATAATTACCTTTACTGGTAGATTTAAAAGCACACTTTTTAACACAGATCATACTTATAAACCCATTGATTTATTGTTGTTATTGTTATTTGCCGTCGAGTCAGCCCCGACTCATAGCGACCCCTCCTTGGGTTTTTGAGGCAGTATCACTACGGAAGTAGGATTGCCCAACCTTCCTTGATTTATTAATTCAACAAATACTTAAGGTTAAAAACATCGTGGTGGCAGTGAAGAGCTGCTATTCCCTGTCTTTAAGGAGCTTACAGTCTCGTAAGAAGATACACAGATAATTATAATAAAATGTGGAAGAGAAGAACTAAACAAGAGGTGACTCCTCATTGGGAAAGTTCTGGAGAGGTTTTGTTGGCATTTGAACTGGGCCTTGAACGATGTTTGAGCTGGATACCAAGGATGAAGGTGCATAGAAAGGGACTAACAGGAACTAAAGGAAGAGGCTAGAAAATGCAGGGCATGCAAAAAAAAAAAAAAAGCATAATTAAGTTCATCATTTGAAGGGTAACATTAAGGGGGAATAAAATAAAAAAAATGTCAAAACCGGATGGTTGAGGAGGGCTTTGAATGCTGTTCTAAACATTCTACTCTTTATTGCCTAAATAATGGGAAGATACTGGAGATTTTTCAGCAGAGATGGGAGAGCATCAGAATCATGCGGGCTGCTCTTCCAGCAGCCAGAACAAGCCAGGAAGCAGACAGACCTGTTAAGAGGCAAGAGCTTTCAAAGACGTAATCCCTGACTTTGGGAGAAACGGGGAGAAGGACCCAAGCTGTTCAGCTTTTGCCCCCCTTTCCGAAGACATGTGGTTAAGAAATATGGATTCTGAGATGGGCCTTAATTATATACAATGTGTGTATACGTGCAAATATGCAAGTGTGTACATGCATGTGCATGTGTGTGTGTGTACATGTGTGTGTGTCCAGGCTGGGGGTTAAGGGAGAAGGGTTGAATCCAGTAACCTCCAAGGCATAGTCCAATTCTGTAACATTTACTGCTTTTCTTCTCTTAACTAATTCAATTTTTTTGGATTGATGGTGTAGCCAATCACACTGTTAGTATCTTAAGTATCTTGTTCTTAAAACTGTAATTAGTAATTGACAATTCAATTTAGCAAAGAGTTAAAGGATGCAAGCTGCTGAATTTTCATGTGTATTAGCTTAATTATTTTATTTTTATTGTGATTTGGGTGAAGATTTACAGAGCAAATTCACTTTCCATACAGCAGTTCACATATACTTTGTCTCATGGCATTGACCACAGTTTACCACAATGCAACAGCTCCCCTCCCACTTCCTCCCCATAGTTACCACTTCCCAGTGTCCATCCCTCCATACACTCCTGCCCCTGAGCTATCTCCCTGTGCATAAGCAGCCCTTCTTTCTCCCATAATTGTTCTCTCCAAGGAGTGTATCTACTTGAGGTAAATGTTTAACTCATATGCCTGTATTTTGTTTGGCTGGAAACCACAGGTGTGGGTTCAATTCCAGACCTGAAGGGCAGCTCGGGGCCATAGTCTCAGTGGTTCCACCAGGCTCTATCAGACCAGCAAACCTCGTCCCCACCTTTTTTTTTTCCCTCCATATGATTTGAGTTTTGTTCCACATTGTTCTCCCTCTCTATCCAGGATCTCCTACATAGATCCCCTTTCAGGTGGATGACAGTGGTAGCTGGGCACCATCTAGTTCTTCTGGTCTCATAGTCATATAGGCTGCAGATTGGATGGTGTACCAGTCGCTAGGACTAATTGTTTCCATAAATTTTGGTTTTCTTCATTCTTCTTTGCTCTGGATGAGGAGAGACCCATTGTTGCATCTAGATGGCAGCTTGCTAGTTTTTAAGATCCCAGTCGCTCCTCGCCAAAGTAGGTACAGCAATGTTTTGTATAGTATGTTATGCCAATTGAGCTTGATGTCCCCTGCAACTATGGTCCCAAGCCCACAGGTTCAACTACTTGGTCCCTCTGAGTAGCTGGCTGTGACCAAGCAGTGACCACAACCTTGTCCCTTGTCAGCTCTACTATACACCTGGGAATTCTGATCATTCACATAAACTTATAGGACCATTGTCTGCAAACCCTATATATGTTCTTGGATACACTCCCCATTTCATAGACATACCTAATCGTTTAGCCTGTCCACCCATCTATCCATCCATATACCCATGTTTCCCTTCACTGACAACGTAGTACTGTATGTGCAAAAGGGTTTGTATTTGTTGTCTGTACCTCCCATGTACCTCTCTACGTCTTTCTCATCCTCAATGCTGCCATATTGGTCACTCACATTTGGTACATTGCCCTTCTCTTCACCCAAATCAATACTTATCTCTATCTATCTAACAGCCTTCCCTCCCCTCCCCTCCCACCCTTGGTAACCAATAAAGAAAATTTCCTTCTATAGATAAACCTTTCCTTAACTTTTACAATATCAGACTAATACAATATTTGTCCTTTTGTGATTGACTTATTTCACTCAGCATAATGTCCTCCAAGTTCATCCACATTATGCAGTGTCTTGCAGATTCTACATTATTCTTTAGTGTTGCATAGTATTCCATTGTGTGTATGTACCACAGTTTGGTTATCCATTCCTCAGTTGATGGACACCTAGGTTGTTTCCATCTCGCTTAATTATTTATTTTTTTGTTGTTGTTACGTGCCATTGAGTTGGCTCCAACTCATAGCGACCCCTCCTTGGGTTTCTAAGGCAGTATCACTACGGAAGTAGATTGCCCAACCTTTCTTCTGAGGAGTGGCTGGTGGGTTTGAACCGCCAGCCTTCTGGTTAGCAGTTATCAGTTTAGGCTATTGAATAAATTAGTGGTTCTCTCTCTATGTGGCAAATTAATATGGCTACAACCTGTGGTGGATGAAGTCTTTTGGTCATTTTTGTGGTCCTGATTTCCAGGGACCAAAACATCCATGGTCCTCTCTTTAATAAAATCCATACATCGAAATCTAAATTTTAAAAAAGCAAAGAAATAACAATGAGTGATGACTCGTGTTGAAAAGCATTTTTTTTTATTTTACAGAAAAGTCTCTTTCACTACCAAAGGATCCCATTCTAATATGTATTTTCATTTATACATCAAGAGGCAGTGATAATTAAGAATACAGTCTCTGGAATCTGGCTTGGATCTAGGCTCACCAACTCCACCAAACCAAATTCACCACCGTTGAGTCAGATCTGACGCATAGCGACCCCTCCTTGGGTTTCCGAGGCAGTATCACTATGGAAGTAAACAGGCCCCATAACTAGTATATTCTCTTTGAAATCATGTCTACATGTAAGGTTTATCCTGCAATCTTTCTTGGATTTTGATATTAAAAACTCCATAAAGTGAGGATTGCCTCTTTTTGACTCATGTTTCACCCCGGCCACTGAGCTCTTGCCTGGTTTGCAGAGGATGTTCAATAGAAATCAATGGGAAGAATAAATGAATGAATGGAGATTTGTCTGCAGCCATGAGTCTTGCCCCTTTACTCACTTTTCAAGTGGTTCTTCCCCTGAATATCAGAGTGATTGATATCTTCACCTGACAACTAACCAACTAAACGCCCTTTCTCCAGCCTTTACCTACAGTAATTAATTTTGGGGAATGACATATCTTTTGCATTTGAAGATACGAAAAGCAAAAGACAGTTTGGGTTGAGCTCTGTTGTGTTCTTTTTCCTCCTTCTCAAAGATGAGTCATCTAAAATTGATTTAGGTGCCAGA